AAGCCTGTGCCTGCCCCCAGGGCCTTTACACTTTTGCCTCAACCCAGACTGCTCTTCTTCTGACACCTATGTGCCTCAAACTTGCTACATTCAGACCTCAGCTAGATATTGCCTCAACAGAGAGGCCTTCCCCAACCACTCTATCACTATCTCCTGCCCTGCCTTTTTGTCCTTTTATAGCAATGACCTTGGCCATTATTGTGTTTTATGTAGTATATGGACTTGTTTTCCCTTCCACAATATAAGGTTCCTGGAAGCTGGCACTTTTGCCCTCTAACCTGCTGCTCAATTCCCTCCACCTGGGCCTGCCTCTTGACACCTCCTGGGCACTCAGTACTTGCCAAATGGATGACCAGGGCTGGGCAAAGTGGTCCATACCTGTAATTCCAGCACTTTGGGAAGGCAAGGCAGAAGGACTGCTTGAGCCCAGGAGTTTACAATCAGCCTAGGCAAACTGCAAGACCCAGTCCCTACAAATTTTTTTTTCCCATCAGCCAGATTTGGTGGTATGCACTAGTACTCCCAGCTACTCAGGAAGCTGAAGGAGGAAGATTGCCTGAGCCTAGGAGTTTGAGGTTCCAGTGAGCTGTGATCACGCCATTGCACTCCAGCTTGGGTTAACAGAGACTGTCTCTAAAAAAAAAATTTTTTTTAAATGGATGACCGGGTGTCTGCACAGCTCTCATTTGCCCCCTGACTGAAAGCCTGCTGTGGTCTCAGGATCAGTGTTGGTGATACCATTCCTTGACCCTGTGAGGTGACATGAATGCTCCAGATGTCCTGAGTGTGTGTGTGTGTGTATCTAGGGCCTGTGGGCTCTGAGACCATCCAAAATGCCCAGTCAGCCTCATGACCTCTTTTCCCCTCCATCCCTGCCTTCCCCCTACTCTGTCCCTCTCAGAAAGAGGACCCTGAAGAGAGATAAAAGGATGCCCACCACACGAGGAAAATCCAAACCCAAGGTAAGTGATGAAGCAGCTTCCTTCAGGAATCATCTATCTTGTCTTGTAAGATATGGACCACTTGCTTCCCTTCCATGGAGACTTCCAGGATGTCAGAAACCCATCTAGGACCTGGCCCCTGGTTTATTCCCATCCCTACAGAGGGCAGGAGCCTAAGAAGGGCCCATTGTCTCTCTCACTATGCACACGAGTGCTCACCTGTCCATTCAGCACCTCCTAGGGCTCTGCCAGTGCTAGGTGAGATGTCCTTCCTACAGGGAAGATGAGAGCCACTGTAGCTTCTCAGGGTAGAGATGAATGCCCGCTGGGGACCTGCCAAGGCAGAGGGGGATTCAATACATACTTCAGAGTTAATCGCATTGTGACACTTGGTTTCTCCTTATAAAACCTGTGTTTATATGGAGGATATCTCTCTAACTCAGTCTCAAGTCTCAGAGGCATCCCGTAGCTCTTTTATTCTGTTGAATATGTTGGTACCAGGTAGTGAGGCAGTTCACTCGTCTCCTGTGGTCGGCATACTTCACTACGACAGATTACCCCGTGGTGTCTACAACAGCATCACAAGTGCAGTGTTTTGCCCTCGGAGTTATGTGCATTAGCTCCATCTTGCCGCTGTTAACAAATTGGCCACAAATTTGACAGCTTAAAACAGGACACATTTATTATCATGCTAGTCCATGGCTTGGCTAGGTCCTCTGCATGGCTGAAATCCAGGTGTCAGATGGCTACATTCTCATTTGGGGCTCAAGTCCTCTTCCAGGCTCACTGGTCACTCACTGACCAGACTAAGTTCCTTCTCATGCTTTCAACGCAGCCCTCTTTTCCAACTTCAGGCCAACAACAAAAAGTAACCAAGCCAGATAGGTCAAGAGCAGGCTAATTTCCCTGTTTTAAGGTTTTCCTGTCTTAAGATCAACTGGTTACCTTGATGACACCCTCAAAGAACCTCTTGCCATGTATAATATAATCACATACCCTTCTGAGAGTGCATGGGCCTTGGTGCTTCAATCATGAGTGGAGTTAAGCCCCAGTGTTCCTATTGGCAGGTTATGACACCTGCAGTAATTACCACGCCTTCACTGGGCCTCAGTTTCCTCCTATGTCACATACTCTGTTTCCACTGGCAGTGCCTCTGTCAACTAGTTCGCATGAGTGCTAAGTGAGCCACGCAGTCACGCACTTATAAAAGTGTCTCAGCCTTGCAAATGCCTGGTAGTCCCGAGTTATGGTCTTTAACAAACAGCTCTGTCACGTTGCATTTTGTTGTATTTAATTTATTTACTACACCTGCTCTTTTTGGCCTCAGAAGCCCAAATATTTCCCAAATAATTCCTGGCACCCTGTGTTTCTTCCCACTTCCCCCCTGTGTGGTCAGAGTCCACTGTTTCCTCCAGCCTAGTGGAAGCACAAATGAGCCCATGGTAAATAGACCTGTGATTTTCCATTTCAGCCACCGGTGACATTTGGGGATGTGGCCATCCACTTCTCCAAGGAAGAATGGGAATGTCTGAACCCCACCCAGAAAGATTTGTACCAAGAGGTCATGTTGGAGAACTATCAGAACCTGGTCTCCCTTGGTAAGGCCCTCCCTCCCCCACAATCTTGAACCATCTTGCTAATGTCAGGAAAACGGAGGTCACTCCAATTTTTTATTTATAATTTTTTAAAGTATTTATAATAGTGTTATTGCAATATAATTCACATAGTATACGATTCACCCATATAAAGTGTATAATTTAATGATTTTTAGCATGTTCACAGTGTTATATACCTATCACCATAAATAATTTTAGATCATTTTTATCACCCCCCAAAAAACCCATTAGAAATCAGTCTTTACCTAGGCTCAGAGCCTGTGGCTCAAGCGGCTAAGGCGTCAGCCACATATACCTGACCTGGCAGGTTTGAATCCAGCCCAGGCCTGCCAAACAACAA